CACACACACACACACACACACACACACACACACACACACACACACAAATAATAATTATAATAATGATTAATAACATTTTTAAGCTGGGCATAGTAGTGTACACTTTTAATCCCAACACTCAAGAAGCAGAGGTAGGCGAATCTGAGTTCCAGGTCAACCTATTTACATAGCAAGTGCCATGCCAGCCAGTGTTCCAAGGTGAGATATTCCCTTAAAAATAAATAAATAAAATAATTTTAAAATTCAATTTTTAAAAGAGACAATAGGGCAATGTAAATTTTCTATTTACGCAAGTCTTGTCATTTTATCTACATAGCATTTTAACGTTTTCATGCATTTTTTTTTTTATATTTTTTCCACTCGGATCCTTAATAGCCTGGTGGGACAGATGGTACTAGTAGTTTACTTTGCCAAGTGTGATGGTTAATGCTCATTTTCAACTTGACAATCTAGAATCACCTGAGAAAGGAGTCTCAGTGAGGGGCTGTCTAGACTAAGGTTATCCTCTGAGAATGTCGGTGAAGGATTGCCTTGCTACTTTAACTGCTGTGGGAAAACCCACCTTAGTCATGGGTGGGCCGAGCCCCTGGGCCCCTGAACTCTAGAAAACGGAGAGGTCCAACAGCATAGGCATGCAAGCATTAAAGCACTGCTCTCTGCTCTTGACCGTGGTGGTGATGTGACTAGCTGCTTCAAGTTCCTCCCACCTTGGCTTCCCAACAATGATGGACTATAACCTGGAATTGTGAGCCAAATAAATCCTTCCACAGCAACAAGCAAAGAGTCCAAAACACAAAGGCAGCTGAAACCTAGAGAAGCCTACCTCCCCAAGTCATGTGACTGAGAAGAGCCTGACCCTAGAGATCTGGGTTAATCTGGCATGTGGTCATTATAGAGTATAATAGATGAAACCTAATTTTTATTCACTGAAGGTACCTAATAATGTCAAGAACAATTTCTTTTCATAGTTTAAAATGGACAAGGTTAAGTTGACTAGGTTATTGCAGAGTAATTTTGAAGAAAATCATATATATGAGTTCACGTACTTATTTATTCCTTTCTCCCGAAGTGCACTGGTGGGAGGGGCCACACAGTTCCAAGTCCTAAAGAAATTTTTCCTGCTTAGGTTTCTAATTAAAAATCAGTAAGACAGGGCGGTGGTGGCACACACCTTTAATCCCAGCACTTGGGAGGCAGCCTGGTCTATAGAGTTCCAGGACAGCCAGGGCTACACAGA